AGCTTGTTCCCCCTCGAGACACCGACTGTTAAGGTATTCTATACTCTTTACTCGTAAAACAGGGATCCTGTACGAAGTGTACCTAACCAAGTACAACGTGTCTGCTTCCCATTAAAAAGAAGTAAGAAGTAGCATACTCTGGTACAGATATTCTGACCCCCTTTTTTGCACAATGTGAAGTGTGAAACAGGGAAAATTTGCTTTGTTCGCGAAACGGAGTCAAGGATGTTGCGAGTTGAGTATATATATATATATATATATGGTTTTAATCTATCAGTAATTACACTAAGTTAATAGAAACATCACTTAGAACATGTGATACGTATGTAGCTACCGTATAACTTTGTTGTTTCCTATCGATAGGCGCCTCTCACACTTTGTTTCTCTTAGTTTCTACTTGTACTTGTACTAATATATACGCGGTTAACATTTAAAGAAGACGTGGACCAATTTATATTTTAGCGTAACAAGCGTAAGTTTACAGTTTTCCGGTAACATTCGTTGAACGCACCGTATAGAGTCAGCGAGGATTATGTACTTAACGTTAGCTCCTCTTCGCGTGTACCAGACTCTGTTCCGTGGACAAGGCGTAGAGGTGTGCAAGTTAGTGGCGCAGCCAGAAACTTTGGGATGGAGGCACGTGACGAACGCGTGACAATGTACATAGATGTATACAAAGAAACCGAAGTTACGATTCAACGCTCTCACGATCCGTGAAACCGAGATGTTCTTCAACGCAGAGGATATTTTCTAGAACGTTGCGTTCGCACTGTGTTTCCACGACTGTCATGTACTTTGTTAGCGTGTTCGTTTTTATGAAATGCGACATTGTATTTATGCGAGAGAAGTTAAACCTCTGTAGGCCCATGTAACTTTGAAGTCACATATCAGTATATTGACATCTTGTTGATTTCTTTCATGCTGCACTGAAAGTGGTGAACAAAATTAAGTAACCAGTTAACTGAAACTTTTATGTTGTAACTTGAAAGTTACAAAATATATTTGTTTGATGAAATTATTGAAACTATTGAATACCTTGTTAATTCGTATTCATATGTGGATATTTATTAATTTTGCACTGCGTAGATTTTGTTGTAATCATGAACAAAAATTCGGCCCATAGAGGATTAACTCATATCAGTGAGAATCTGTTTCCATATCACTTACGCATAACGTGTTGCCACACGGTTCAAAAGATTTCTTTTTCATTTCATAATGAGGAGTACTTTTATATGATTTTTAATGATAGTAAGATCATTGATTAACGATGAACCGCGAACGATAGTCTCCGGGGATGCAACGTATGCTTCTACACATAATTAATAACAGTTAATCCCTTTTTCCACTTGTATTCCCAGTAACGTGTGATCTTGCACCCTCTGGCCGCGCCACAGGTATAAGTAGCGTTACCGAGTGAACTCTATGTTCGAGTTTAGACTTAAAGAGAACTACCGTTGAAGGGAATTGTCTTGGATATTGTCGGCGTTCAAAGTGACTTAATGAAGTAACGATAAGAGGAAATTGTAGATAAATAGAAACCGTTCGAGTATACAACGTTTGGTGAGATACCTAATAGAAGATATATGCTGATATATTCAACAATCTAACTGTTATTTCTTTTGGTAGATCGTCCTTGTCACAGTTTGATGATTCCAGAGTTCGCATGAATCTTCTCTGATCGGCCTTCGTGCGTGGATTAAACAGCAATTGAGACGATTAGAAGCAACACGGATTCACTAGGTGAGAGCCAGACAAAAATCTGTTTTCTTGGAACCTATGCAAGTTGTACTGCATATCTAGAAATGAAACCCTCATGGCTTCTTTAATGGTCCTCCATTTAAAGAGAAATTCATTTTAAGTTTGTTATTATATCAAATCTCCATCTTTGGAATTCCCTTTGTTCTCCATTTTTGTTTATCGTCTTACCACAGCAACATACAAATTTACAATTCATTTTTTATTAAATGGAGGATCATTGTCAAAAAGCCACAAGGGTTTTTCATTTCTAGGGTACCATACAGAAACAGATTTTTGTCTGGCCCTCTCGTCAGAAACAGCTTTCAGCATTTCATTTACTAAAATAAACTAAATCTGTTATACTGAACTAATTATTCCAATAATCGTCTCAATTGAACGGTTCACTTCCTCCCCAATTCTGAACCCTTTGCGTGCGAATGTCGACAAATTTTCATATGTGGAATACTAAGCTGCAAATGAATGACTTAATTACTTAAAAAACAAGAGACCGGTATTTATTCATCCGCAAAGGGTTAACCCTTAACCCCTTGCCATTTATTTCTCAACTATGACACAACTACTCTACAATTAACAATTCCTTAAGAGAAAACAGATTCAAAGGCATATTCCATATCGATCTCTGCTCCAAAGTATAATTAATAATAGAACAATATTAAATTCGAATTCAAAGGGATCAAGTAATCTAATTTGATTTACCATCAATTCTCACATTATGTTAACTGATTTATACTATATTCCCAGTCGACAGTCGTCTTGCATATAATTTCTCAAGCAATTCATTAACACTTAGCCAACCAAATGGGGAGATCTCCCATTTCTCACTTAGCAACGTATTGCCTTTTATTCTGTATACTTTTCTCTTATTATTTAGTAAGTCTTGAAGTGGGATTATTTGCAATTCATCAAATCTTGTTTTTACAAAACAGTTTCTAACCGTAGTCACTGAATGAGTTCAATTGAAGATAATGGAGGATATTGTAGTTATAGTTCTTTTTAGACAAATCTACGCATGTCCGACATCATAAAGCAAGGGGTCGACATGCTATCGCCTTTTCATCCCTGTATCTTTGTTTCTAGTGTGAACAGGGTGTCGACACTGAAATGCATCCAGCGAAAAGCAAAGCCGGAGAGCATGACGTTTTCAGGAAGCAGCAAGGTTGAATCGGCCCGACCGGTTTCATTAAACGTATTCATTGTGCATCGGCTGAAATGTTTTCGACTAAAGTGGCAATTAACCGTGGAAGCGCGCGGCGCGTTGGCCGTTAAACAAATCCGAATAAAATATCCCATCGTGCCGCCGGTTGTCCAGGGCTGCTGAGAGCTGATCGATAATTGGCCCCTGATTGAAAACAGGTGGGGACCGGTTAAGCGCATTGTAGGAATAGGTGGATCGTGATTCAGGCACACACGAATCGTGCCCATCGCTATACATCAGACGGAGTCATGCGCCGACTGGTACAGCCAGGTACCAAATGCCACAAGGTCACGACTCGTACACACAAGAGAGAGGGCGCGCT